GTTTTAAAGGTACAGTATTTCACAGATCATCTATCATTAAAGAGAGAGACTACCATGCATGGAAGAAAAACATCATCCCCCCCCCCCAAACCCAACCCGCATACGCACAAGCTCCACATCTAGTTGATTGTCAGATGCTCAAGTTAGAGTAATCTTTTCATTTTGTCATGCTATTGTAATGTATAATCAACCAGCCAACCATAGCTGCTTCAATGACCAAATTTCTGAGGAACGAACAGCAAGATTAGTCTTACTACAAGACCATGAATAGTGCAAGCACCTAAAATAAATGGCAAACTACGACTTCACATCTTCATGCTATTCCTCAGCACTAAAAACGGCAAGTACAACCAAAAGGGGTTAACTTTTTCAATCTATAAAAAAGTCTTACAGCGAAAATCCAAAGATCCAACATCAGTATCATACTATTGCCAACAATTTTTATTTTTTTTGAGAGAGAAAGGTAACTGTAATATAGAGCTAGCACTAAGTGCTGTAGTACTTACAAGTGAGCAAAAAACCAAAAGAAAAAAATACTTTCCAGTCTTACAGGGATTCTAAGAGGTTAAGTATGGAAGCTGTTGCACAACTTTAACCTCAATCAATAAATGGTTGCTCATTGAACAGATGGAAATGATGGAAATGAAGACATGCGTCATTCTGCATGCAGCAGTAGCAGTGGCAAAGAAGAATTCTCTAGGATCCGTTACAGTTTTACAAGTGCGGAAAATTCATGCGGCAGTAAATGGAGCGTCCAATATATGTGGTTTCAATATTTTGAAATCTTTAATCGTCATCGATCATCTTTTATGGGAATGATCAGGTTCCTTTTTCAATAAGTCCTTCATGAGCAAAAGTAAAATCCACCATCATCAGTGAATAAAAAGATTTATGGCACATAAAAGTACAACACATCTCAGCACAAGATAGCAACAAGGGGAAAAATTCTCTGCCAATTAACAGGAATTGGGATGAAAAAGGGGGCACAAGCTCAAGTCTTCCAGCCCATTTTCTCTTTGTTGATGATTTTTTTTTTCTCTATTCAAAGAATCATGAGTTGAGCTTGATTGAAACAGCGAGGATTCATATAGCTGATCCCAACTTGTTTGGGACTGAGGCGTAGTTGTTGTTATTTAAAGAATCAGAACTATATTTCATTTTTGATACTTCATCTTACTACTTCTATTGCAGAAGCGAACTACCAGCATTTCAGATCAATTTTTATGCTTAAGTTAGTTTTTTCTTTTAAATTTTCATGGAAGTAATGTATTACTACAGAAGATGCTGAATACAGTACATCCTGATCAAGGGTCTCCTGTACATCGGCATCTGGTTTTTATGCTAAAGTTAGTTATCAAATTATCATCTCAACAAAGCAATATAAGGTGGAAACTTTTGAAATTTTTGTGTTTTTAGTTGTTCAACAACTATAGTATTCGCTCACCATTTTACAGTATAAACATCCGCCTATCACACCAGCAATCAGCAGTACAGAATAACAGAAAACTACTTTAGACAATTATATTCATTTTCCCATGATGGAACTAAACTACATTATAAAATTTGGATTACCAAGCTACGGTACCACGAATAGGCAGATAATCAACTAAAATAAACTCAGCACCACTCCATAACAAACTCAAATAGTAGCAGCTCCATAACAGCCTCTGACAAATACTAATTCTATTGCTTAATTTACATAATATTCAAGAAACCAGTCACTACAGAATAAGAGCGTCATTTACCATAACAAACAAATCCACCTCTGCATAAATCATGACTTATATACAGACACCACAAGACATGTTGCACATTCACCATTGGAAATTACAAACAAAANGAAAACACGCTTTGGCAAGAAAAGAAAAGAAGAAACAGGGAGAGAAGTATTGCAGGTCAGTTAAATTTTTCTTAGTTTCAATCATCATCTCAACCCATCAGAAGAAAACTAACTGGCTAACTGCAAGAAATTTAGTCCCTTGAAAAGCAAATATTCTACTTGAAGAAGAAAACACGCTTTGGCAAGAAAAGAAAAGAAGAAACAGGGAGAGAAGTATTGCAGGTCAGTTAAATTTTTCTTAGTTTCAATCATCATCTCAACCCATCAGAAGAAAACTAACTGGCTAACTGCAAGAAATTTAGTCCCTTGAAAAGCAAATATTCTACTTGAAGAAGAAAACACGCTTTGGCAAGAAAAGAAAAGAAGAAACAGGGAGAGAAGTATTGCAGGTCAGTTAAATTTTTCTTAGTTTCAATCATCATCTCAACCCATCAGAAGAAAACTAACTGGCTAACTGCAAGAAATTTAGTCTCTTGAAAAGCAAATATTCTACTTGAAGAAGAAAACACACTTTGGCAAGAAAAGAAAAGAAGAAACAGGGAGAGAAGTATTGCAGGTCAGTTAAATTTTTCTTAGTTTCAATCATTTCTCCATTTCCACCAGACAACACATGACCATTGCAAGCTAGGAAACATAAACATACTGCACGCCACGTCAATCCACAAAGTATATTTTAAAACCAATGTTGCCTACAGAGATAAGAAATTAGTGCTGTTCTATGATGCATATAATACATGCATGTTCTTCCATGCTTAATAAATAGAAGCATATCCAAATACAACGGACACATACCTGAAAATGCAAACTAGTCAAGCAATGAGCAATTCGACGAAACAATGGCACCATACACCTTTGGAAATCTGGTGGCTGAGTAGCTTCCAAGATTTCCTCCAACTCACCAAGGAACATGACTTCCTTTGAGCTATTTGTTACTGGCCAATACTTTAACAATCCCCTAATAACTGTATCAGCAAGCTTGCAGTCTTTCTCCACAAACTGTGTCATACAATAAGTTAACTGTTGATGGTACATGGCTAAGCATTTGGGTTTATGCAGGGGGATCAGTGTCCGCACAAGAAAAAGCTTGTGTTCTTCTTTTAGTGGCAAAGCAAACCCATTGATTATGCTGCCCAGAATTTCCAGAAGCTCTGCAATCCCATTATGCTTTTCAGTCTCAAAAACAAAACGGTAAAATATGTTATTAATAGCCTTCCTAATATAAGGTCGGTGTACCATGAACTTCCCATAGACACGGTGCAGTATTATTTTCAAGTACTCCCTCTCTCTAGGATCCTCAGAGTCGAAAAGATCAAGCAATCTGAGAACAAAAGAATGATCTACATATCTTTTAGCAACTTTTGCATCAGTTTCCGGTGATGCAACAAATCTTAGAAGAAACTCATACACAATCTGCAGATGTGGCCATGCAGGATCCATTGCAGGCTCGTCCTCTTCCACATCAAAGGCCAACGCCTTGTTCTCCCGAGGCTGAGGCATGAGTTCCCTGAACAAATTTGTAGATACCATTTTTACTACTTCTTGCATCACCACTTCTGTAAATTTTACATTTGCAGAAGTCACGTACTCCACGAGCTCCAACAATGTCTGTCGCTTGATCTCCTTTTCTTTAAGGTTCTTTGTAGGATCAGTGAAGTCAAACAAAACACAACACATGCTGAGCTTCCTAATGAACAAGTTCTGTTTCTCAGAATTGGGAACATCCCTAAAATTTGGTAATGCATCATAAGAAGCTACTACCAGATTCCCATTCACCTTAAAACTCCCATCTCGAACAAACTTATCCCCCATTCCATATCCTGAAGCTGAAACAGAATAAGGGGCTGAAATAACAGTACTGGCTACTCCAACCTTTTTATTTCCTCCGTCACTTTTCTTTGAACTGCTAGTTGAAGAACTTGAACTAGAGGTACCAGCTGTCTTTGACTGCTTCTTAGAGTTCTTTTTACCAAATATCTTGATCATATTTCTCTTCAATTTGAAACTTTATATAAATAACAAGTAAATGCTCAACAGAAAGATCAACCAAAACTGAGTAAAGTCATCAAACCAAAGTTAAATCTTCCACCTGAGCTGAAACCCACATGCCCAAGCTCAGCTTTTCAAAAGGGTCAGCACAAAATGATGAAATTACTTCATCAAATAATTCAAGAAATTACTCAGTTACCTACCACCTTCAAGAAAGGGGCTAGAAGGACACTTTTTTCAACTACAAGAAACAGAGGCCTCAATTAATTCAAATAATGAAGAACTAAAATATTGAAAACCATTCAGAAGTACAGATCAAGAATTGAGGAATACCTGAATCAACTCAGGGAAAACCCCAGTTCCTCAAAATTCAACAACTTTTGCAAAAACCCATGTGTAAAGTTTTTTGCCTTTTGACTTAAAAACCCAGATGTATACATGTGTAAAGCCACTGGAAACAGAAAATTATATCAATAAAAACCTTCAGTATTAAATTCAAGAAAACCCCACCTTTTTCAACTTTGCTCTTCCACTAAACAACCATACCAAATGGGGTTTACAAAATAAAGTATATCCCCACACACGCTCTCTTCACTTTTTCAATAATCCCCAAGCACCAAAGATTAAACTTTTAATGTAAATTGAAACCCAAAAGAAAAAAAAAAGTGTTTTTTTCTTTCTTTTTCTTTGTCACAGTTCAGAAAATGGGGAAATGGAGCAATTATGGAGATGAATTTGGTGAATCAATTTTGGGGTTCTTGGATTTTTATTTTTTTATTTGTTATTTTTGGTGTTGATTGTTGACTGGGTAAACTATTCTTGGAATTGTATTAGTTTAGCGTGTGCATTCTGACTCGGACCAAACGACCAAAAGCCCCCGTCTAATATCCTCTAATTCTCTGTACTTTCTTAATTGGTAATTTGGTAAAAGTCAAATGCCCTAACCCGNTATATATATATAAGTCCAAGTTAAACAAGGCTATCTACTACGCAAGCCCACCTCTTTTTGTTTGAACCCTATGTAGTGAAAGATACGAAAGGGCAGGCTACTTTCGTTAAGTACCTAGTTGAAAAAGGCTGTAATATCTTAGCCATCTTAATATGTCCTGGATGACTAAGAAAAATCTACCGTTTTAACACACAACAAAATCCTAGAAAAGAGGAAGAATCATTAATACAAGAGACATATAGGTAAGCAAGCAAAAAGGATAGGTGCAAAAAGTCACTTGTCACGACCTCAATTTCCCTCCGTAGGATATCGTGATGACACTTAGTCTCTAAGATTATGTAAACCTGATAATTTGCGAAATAACTGAATAATAAATTGAACTCAAATCTCAACACATAATATATAAATAAAAACTGCGATTTAAATAATTACAACTCTCAAAACCAGGTAGAAATAAGTCACAAACTTCTAAAAGAAAATACTATTTATCTCTATACATCAAAGTCTAAAGAGAATAAGGGAAATAACATAATAAGGATAGAGGGGGACTTTCAGGTCTGCGAACGCTGGCAGATATACCTTAAAATCTTCACGTGCGGTCCAGCTCACTGATATCTGGTCTGGTATGAAGAACCTGGATCTGCACAAAAAAATGTGCAGAAGTGTAGTATGAGTACACCACAACGGTACCCAGTAAGTGTCAAGCCTAACCTCGGTAGAGTAGTGACGAGGTCAGGTCAGGGACCTACTGGTTTAAAAGATAAGCAAGGCAGAAGATATAATAATATTTTGAAATGACTGAGAATTTAAACAACGAGAAGTTTCAGAAACTAACAGCATAGCAAATAGAGGTAAACAACAGGGGCGCTTCCGAGGTATCGCCCCGTAACCCAAATGTAAATGCTCAACAGGGGGATCTCCCGAGGTACCGTCTCGTAGTCCCAAAAGTAAATATGCACGACAGGGGGATCTCCCGAGGTACCGCCTCGTAGTCCCAAAGTAAATATGCAAGACAGGTGGATCTCCCGAGGTACCGCCTCGTAGTCCCAAAGTAAATATGCAAGATAGGTGGATCTCCTGAGGTACCGCGTCGTAGTCCCAAAGTAAATATGCAATACATGTGGATCTCCCGAGGTACCGCCTCGTAGTCCCAAAGTAAATATGCAATACATGTGGATCTCCCGAGGTACCGCCTCGTAGTCCCAAAGTAAATATACAAGATAGAGGAATCTCCCGAGGTACTGCCTCGTAGTCCCAAAGTAAATATACAAGACAGAGGGATCTCCCGAGGTATCGCCTCGTAGTCCCAAAGTAAATATACAAGACAGAGGGATCTCCCGAGGTATCGCCTCGTAGTCCCAAAGTAAATATGCAACTCATAAATTATAGAACCACGAATTTACGGCAAGGAATCCTACAGTTAAAGACCGAATTCAATAATCAAGGAAACAGGTAATTCAACTAAGCATGTTGCACGAATTTCAAGTAAAGGTTAAGACACGTAAACATGCAATACTAGGCTAAACATGACAGCTACACATGCAAGGCAACTCAGTTAAGGAATTCAAAAGAAATATACTCATCAAGAACCGGAATTTTCACAATTAGCATGTGTACGCACTCGTCACCTCGCGTACACGGGGATCACATACCACAAATTGTTACAACAGTACCAAATCCTAAGGAAATTTTTTCCACACAAGGTTAGATAAGTCACTTACCTCAAATCTCGCTCAATCAATCGATAAGGATGCCTTTCCCTCGATTTTCCGACTCCGAATGGCCCAAATATAGTCAAAAGCAATTACATATCATGAATACAACTACAAGAAACTAATTTAAATCATAAATCTATGACTTTAGCAAAGAATCGAAAAATCGCCCCAAAAAGTCGACCCAAGCCCACGTCTTGGAATCGGGTAAAAGTCACAAAATATGAACACTCATTCGATATCGAGTTCACCCATATCAAAATTACCAAAATCCGACACCAAGTCGCCACTCAAATCTCCAAATTTAACTCTCAAAATTCCTAACCTCCAACTCCCAAATTCCACCTTAAACACACACAACCTAAGTGGGAAAATCAATGGGGAAACAAGATTATTGATCAAAAATGTGTACAAGAGACTTACCTCAAGATATTCCTCAAAAATGCTCTCAAGAATCGCCAAAACTCGAGCTCAAAATGTTTAAAATGAGGCAAAATCGCGAACTCTTGTATTTAGGTGTTCTGTCCAGCACTTCCGCTTCTGTGGAAACTTAGTCGCATCTGTGGCGTCGCAGAAGCGACAACTTACCCGCATCTGCGGTTCACTCGCTCCTGCGGTCAACTCTTCCGCGGAACTTCCGCTTCTGCGGTCCTAAAGCAAGGGGCCCTCCATCTCTGAAAGATTGTGTCCAGGATTCGGTATTGGAATTCCCCTAAAAGAGGTGGGCTTGCATAGTACATAACCTTGTTTAACTTGGACTTGCTGCAGGAAGCTTCCTTTGCGAGGTGATGTGCGATTTTATTTTCTTGATGGAAGTTATGTTTGATTACCAGTTCCATCCCCTAGTGCATTAACAACCTGTATAACAAATTTTAGACTCATAAATATGATTTTTATTAGTCAACAATTGTGGAGTCCGTTTCAATTTCCAGTGTATAAAGATGCAGTTTCTTTACTAGTTGAAGTCTCTCCTGGAGTGCAAAAAGTTCTACTTGAATTGGAGTCCTGAAAGAGTTCTTTTGAGAAATCCAACAACGCAGTTTCCATCGTCATTTCTAAATACTCCACTTAATCCGCTTTGAAGATCTTCATATTTGAAAGCAACATCAACATTTAGTTTAAACCATCCCAAAGTTGGTTTATGCCATTTTATGTTGATTTTCAACCAATTGACTCTTTTTAGTAAAGAAATTTTATTCCCATGCGTGATGAGTAATGGCAGCAAGAGATTATTATGATTATTTCTATTTTTATTTATCCAGTAATTCCATAATACAAATGGAAAGACTTCTTGCCAAGAAATGGAGTTTGCGCTAATGCCAAAATTTAGGTCTTTTAGTTGAAGAAGGCAGTATGTAAAAGGGGGACTACTGATGTATATACCCATGCTTACCCAGAAGTATTGAGCAATAAGGCATTCTATAAAGATATGGATAATAGTTCCATCTGCTACCTTATACATCGAACATATAATATCAACATTAATACCAATAAGAACTAGGTAGTATCTACGTGACCGTCTTTCATGTTGGCACTGCCATAACAGGAATTTAATTTTGTTGGGACAATTCAGAAACCAAATCCAAGAGAAGTCTTTTCTATAGGCTGTGGAGGGTCAATGATATCATAGCAAGACTTAGCAGTAAACATGACACTGTTATTTAAAGACCAAATTGGAATATCCACTAGATTGGGGTTAGATCTAACTAACAGTGAGATTGTTATTGTAACGATTCGACCGGTCGTTTTGAACTTTTGTGTTTCATTCAGTAGTTTGAGACTTTGAGTAGCTTCATATGATGTATTATGACTTACGTGTATGGTCGATTTCAGTTTTCGACTGGTTCGGAATTGATTTGAAAATATGACTCTCGATTTGGAAGTTTTAAGTTGGAAGAGTTGACCAAAGTTTGACTTTTAGGTAAACGGACTCGAAATTGAGGCTTGATTGTTCTGATAAGTTCGTATGATGATTTAGGACTTGCACGTATGTTCGAATTTGATTTTGAAAGTTGGCAATTTGAAGAGCTTAAGAGTTCATAAGTTTGACCGAGAGTTGATTTTGATGTTATTGGACTCAAATTGGTGTTCCGAGATTTTAGATAGGTCTATATAGTTGAATTGAACTTATGTGCAAAGTTTGGAAGCTATCAGAAGTGTATAAATGTGATTCAGACAATCTTTTGAAGGAATAAAGATTTAACAACTTAAGGGAAATTCTATTCGGTTTGAGCATCGATTTTTTATTATGATGTTTCCGTGGGTGTTTTGAACCTTTGGATAAGTTCGGATAATGTATTTATACTTGTTGATATGATTAGATGAGGTCCCGAGGAGCTCGGGTGTGTTTTGGATCATTGGTTGAGAGACCAGTTAAGTTAAAGATTTAGAATTTGACCACGGTCAATATCGAGTTAGGATGACCTCTTTTCAGTGTTTTGAGTGTGCGAGCATACTCGTAGAAATTTTGTGATTGAAATGCATGTGTGGTTTATGTCCAAGAGGTTATAAATGAGTTTTGGATGCTAAATCGAAGATTTTGCGATTGCTGAATTTTCTGGTATAATAATTTTGAAAATACTGATTATGTCCCTGAAGTTTTCAGACTCTCTTTAAAACTTCAAAATATCACATCTCCCTCATTTTAAGATCAAATTGGGTGATTTAAAAAGCTATCTTGGGTATAATTTTGCAAGAATTATGTAAGGCTTATCAAATGTGGGTTTCGGGATCATCTAAGTTCTTATTCGGGTTGGGACAACTGCTACATTTTTTATTTGTTTCGGAATTTAGTTATTTTTTCTCACAGGGTTTTGGAGCTCGAGAAGAGGCGATTGTTGAGGGAATTTTCATCTACTTCATTGGGGTAAGTGAACCTAACTCGAATTTATGATTATAACATGAATCTATCATTAATTTTGGCTCTAAATCAAGGAATCTTTAAGAAGAAAAGAGGGTTTTGGCTTGATAGATAAGAAAGTGCATTTTGGGAGTTTTGGAAAACCTTTTCTAAAGTGAAAAATAGATTTGAACCCCGATTTGGAGTCGGTTTTGGATGAAGCTTGTATATTTGAACTTGTATATGAATGAGTGTTCACGATTTATGAGTTTTGTCGGGTCCGGGGTGCAGGCCCGGCTTGACCTTTTGGTTGACTTTGAGTATTTGATTAAATATTCGACATTTATCGTTTGTGTTTGATTCCTGTGAC